TAATTTTTTTTGCAAACTCTGATTCAAATTTTTTTCCGATAGAAATTCATCATTTGAGTCCAATATCAATGTACATAAGTTTTCATTTGGGATCCATGCTCTCTGGTGGAGATCCAGGATATTGGAAAATCCTGGTTACGCCATTAAGTAACACTTTCAAAAACAGATTTAGGCACATCAGAAATTTTTGTGTCACGACCGTGACGGTGGCTGGAAGCTTTAGCAACTATTTTGGATAGTGGCGGCAAAGCAGCTAAATCGCTCGAACGTTGGCGGCAACAGATGGTATATCTTTAAAGTTTTGTGATTGATAGCTCCGTCGATCGGCTCACATCTTTACAAATATATTTTTTTCTTTCAAACTTTGTTACTATCTAACTATTTTTAATTATTATCAGTTAAATTAGTATAATGTAAGATGGCTAGCTGAAACTTTAATGAATAACTTACATACCTTTTATTAGAAAAATTTCAGATCGTATAGTCTATAATAATTGTTATAAAATCATAGATACTTTGATTAAGGAGAAGGATAGTTTATTTCTAATATTAGTATGAGAGTTAAAGATTTTTAAATTAAAACAATCAATAGATCGAAAACGTAAATAACGTCAACAATTGAAAGAGCAGATATGAGAACATCCTTTTTTTTCTATACATCTAATATCAAATTTTTTTTTTTACATACTTTTACATGACCCCAAAACTGTTTAATAACAAAAATAGTAATTAATTGCTAAAATAAATCAAAACAAAAAAAATGAAATATATATAAGTATACAGTATTTTTTTTTCTTACGTCAGCTAATCGAATATATTTATGTGTAAAAAAAGCAATGTAAAATACACTTAAATATGAATTGACACATGCACACTAAAATTTAAATACGAATCAATTTAATCATTAAAACAAAAGAAAATATATTTTACAGCAAACATTTTTGCAATCATTTGATTATCATGTACTCGTTGTTCTCGATAATTTTCTATTGAAAAATAAAATAAAATAAAATAATTCATAATTAAATTTTCAATACCTCGATCTGTTAACCAACGACAAACACTTTTATAAACATCATCAAAAATAGTTGTAACTAATGCTAATAAAATTTTTGGTAATAATTCTGTTAATGACATTAATGCTATTAAAAAAATTTAATTAGACAATTAAAAAAAAAAATAATAATAATTATTAAAATATTTTTACAAGGTAAACGACCAATTTTTAATTGTTGATCAATCCAACTTTGTAAACGAATTATAATAACAATAAAAAATGAAACCAATACAAGATTAATAATAAGCATTGGTATAGTTACAAACAAACGAAATACTAAACGTTTCCATGATGGATAATAAGGTTCATATTTATTTGTAACAGGAGATCGATGTAATATGCCTTTATATGTTGGTCGTGTTTCTTCTAATTCTTCCATATCAAGTGTATTCCATTTATATGCTAATTCAGCTTGTCGTCTTCTCCAATATATAAGAAATCCTGTTGCCCATATGATATTTAAAAGTGAATTTATAATAAAAAGTTTATCATCAATTTCCTAAATTTAAACAAAACAAATACACTATGTAGAGCTCAGAGATGTCCATCGCGGCGCTGCCGCTGCCGCGATGGCGGTGGCGGCAGCGGCAAGTTTTTTAAAAGACCACCGCGGCAGCGGCAGGATTTTTTTGGGGAACATTGAAAAACTGCATGAATTTAATAGAATTTCAGGGTTTACAAATGAACCACCCCTAGACTGAATGAATCTGATGGACTAGTACCAATATCTCTGGTCAAATATAGTCGCAGCAGTGAAATTAGAAACACTTTTTTGTAAACCGCCGCGGCAACGTTTTTTTTATAAGTCATCGCGGCGCGGCAACATTTTTTTATAAACCGTCGCGGCGCGGGTGCGGTGCGGCAGTGGTAGATTTTCAGCCCCGATGGACATCTCTGGTTGAGAAAAACCAAACCTTGAACTTTATAATTTCTTTTGTTAATATTTGACAGTTATCTTTTACTTATTCTTCATGTTAGTTTATGTCTATATCATATGGACAACTATTTCATGTTTTATTTTTCCAAAAAATACAATAAATAGAAAAATTCTCAGTCTACATGTGATCATGATGAATAACTTTTGAAAATTGACGTTATATAAAATTTGAATTCAATGCATAAGGATATTTTGTTTGTAAAATTAAATACATCTAATCTTTAATCTGTTAGATTTACAAACCTGACTTTGTCTACTATAATACCAAATATAAATGCCATAAAGAGCTGGAAAACAGAGTGCTTTGGTATAACAACTAAATTAAAACATTATTTTAGAACATTTACTAATGTTTTTCTTTTCATACCTTAACCAACAAAAATAAAGAGCAATTTTAACACCGAAATATTGTCGAATATCTTCTAGAAAAGAAAAAACAAAAAAGTTCAATATAATATAAACAAATTCTCTATATTTATTATTCATACCAATTGGTTGTGGATTAAAAATATTCTTTGGCCATACCCATGTTTCTCTCAAATGATTTAATTTTTCTTTATTATGCAATGGAATAACTTGTCGAATTAAATTTTTTTCTAAACCACGTTGAACTAAATAAATTTTGTTTTTTTATTTCATTAAAATAAGAAAAATAATTTACTTAATGATTGATCAATTTTAAATTTAATACCATTTATAATTTCCAGTTTAGTAATTCTTATTGAATAAAGAAGATGAAAAACAATTGATTGTCGTTCTTGTGTACTAAAAAAATTTTCTTCATCTTCTACACCTAAATCAAAAACAAAACCCAATTTATACTAAAAATGCTGTTAGTACAATTCCTGCAGGATTAAAATGTAGAACACAATGTAGCTACTGTTACTCATCATAATAGAATTATTGTATTTCACTTTTTTTTGAGTAAACATTTCTTACTTAATCCTTCATAAATGTAATAAGAAAGTAGTTCATATATTATAGTAAGACGTTATTGATGTATAGTCGGAGATGTGAGTGTTGCTAAGATATTTTTGGTGGTCTTCGACTGACGTCTATCTCAGTTAGAGATGTGCAGAACCGACCTTCGGCTATCTTGTAGTGTACCGTGCTGTGTGGTGGCAGATTCAATAGTGAGATATCTTTGATACCGATGATACTAGTTGTAGCTCCGGATTGAAGATCAGCCTGATATAGAGTTTTTGCGCTCAATTCCTCAAGTCTCTCCGACATAATAGCCACAAGAGCAAATGTATGTCATAATGTAGATACTATCGGACAGATTATCCGAGACGAATAGCCGTTAGTGACTTTTCCGAGATCATTTCATGACTGACAATAGTGACGTTTGAGCACAGCTCCCTGCGAACAATGGGAAAGAGACATTGCTGAGACCAGAGCCGGATCTACCGGAAAAACTTCAACTAGAACTAAAGGTTATATTTAAAAATATATTGTTTTTAAGCGAATCATCTAACAAAATTATCAATCAGAATATTATTCAAGAGAGGTAACCCAAAAAGAGTACTACTTCTCTAGACAGGAAGCCAAAAAAGCGTGACTTCGCACATCATCATATACTTTCACATTCCTTTTAGATTATGTTTCACAAAATAACTGAAAATTAATGTTTTACCTTCATAAAATTCTAATTCATCAAACAAAAATATTCGATATCCTCCACCAAATTCTTGTTTAATTGGTTTTTCTAATTGAAGAGCATCGGCACCTTTCAAAATTCTATTCAAACAAAAAAGAAAAAACAAAGTGAAACTATATTCATCATATGAAACAAATCTTCACCTTTCATAAGTAAAAGTTAAATAAAATCCATAAACACCTAATTAAAACAAACACTATAAATAATTTTTATCAACAAAACAAAAACAAATTTTCACCAGTAGTAAAATGATATTTGATTGATATGCGAATATCTGGTTGAAGTTGAATAAATTTTTCAAGAAACCAAATTATCACATGATCATCAATACGTGCTGGAAATGTTAATAAAACATCACATTCATAATTTGTATCAGCATTAAGCCATAAACGATTTGTAATTGCTGATGAAAGATTAGAAAATCGTTTATGAAATACTGATTTAACTAAAAATTCCAAAAATAAATCAAGACAAACCAAATAAACTTTATCTACCGTTCGTAAACTGTTGAGACATTAATTTTTTTTTCGCGTTTTTCTTTTTCTTTTTTTTTTTACATCTAAATAAAATAATACATTCATTTTTTTTTGTGACATAGAACTTTACGAATACAATAGAAACATAGAAAAACAAAACAAAACAGATTGCTTTTCTAACACCGATTGACAAAACAAAAAGAAAATAGATACATCATTATTAATAATCTGAATGTATATTTAAATGAAAGGACGGTAAAAACAAAAAAAAAAAGAACACAAAACAAAGTTTTATTTTTTTTTAATGCACAATATTTTTTTGTCATTCTTTCTTCGAGTACTATTCCTTTTTGATAACATCAACAAAGTCATAGACCAATCGTTGTATTTCATTGGCTTTAAGTTCACTTATACGAATCACATCTTCATGAACAGCTTCATATATTGTATTATAATCTGATAAACCTTTATTAGTTATTAATGCAATACCAAGTGTACGAAAGCCACAATGAGCTGCGAATGTTACTTCATGAACAGTTGACATACCTAAAAATAAATTTACATAGTTTTTTACAATGATCTATTGTTCTTCTTTTATGATTCGAAGGAGTTCAAGTTACAGCCAAATAGAAATTCTTGTCAACACTTGCACGTCCGAAAGTATGCAGTCTAGGATAGTTATGTACGGACATTTGTGTGTTAGGACGTATGCGCATTATTGCAGACGCTCTCTAGGATAATTACGCACGAACATTTGTGTGTTAGGACGTATGCGCATTATGGCAGACGCTCTCTAGGACAATTACGCACGAACATTTGTGTGTTAGAATGTATGTGCATTAAAGCAGACGCTGTCTAGGACAGTTGCGTACGGACACGTTCGCTTATTGAAGAAACTTGTTGAGGCGAGCACCAAAACAATTCGAATATATGATCTTAGTGATTCTGCCAATAGTCTCAATAAAAATATTATTTCTATTTTAAAATCTATTCATGTTTAATTCATAAAGTTGATTTTATTTTCTTACCAACAGCATCACCACCAAGTAATCTAAGCATATTAATTTCAGCAATAGTTTCATAACATGGACCACCTTAAAATAGAATCAATAAAATATCTAAATACATAAATAACTATCTACCTAATCCACAATAGACTCCTTCACGTAATTGAAGATTATATTTATGAGCTATTTTTTTCATTTCTATTATATATTTTCGATCATATGCATGACCAACAGGTGGAAAACGTGTTCCTTCAAAAATACATATTTATAAAATAAATTTTATTCAATATCGTCATACCAAATCTAAAATAAGTATATATATATATATATGTATAGTTTGTTTTTCTCTCATATTTACCTTTCATCATTATGACCAATTAGTGGATTATTTCCAGCTAGATTAGAAAAATTTAAATGATCTTTAATTAACATAATATCACCCACACAATAATCATGATTAACGCCACCAGCAGCACTAATAATAAAAGTTCAATTGAAAAAGAAATAAAGATTATAAAAGAATATAAACATATCGAATACAAACCAAGTAACAATAAGTGAATGTGCACCAAGCATACGCATCACTCGTACTGGAAAAGCACACTAAGAATGTTAAAATATAATTTATAATCATGTTATTAATCTTATCTCTTCCATATAAAAGTTTTGAACAAAAAATGTTTTTTTTTTACTTTTATAAATAAAGATTAAATGAAAAATAAATCTCTTATTAAGAATCAAAGAAAAAGAATTTATTATTTTCCATAGATAATAAATAAATACCGTAGCTGTAGTATAACCTTCATATGGATGAAGACGACCTTGCATACAAACAACATAAAGACCATTCAATTTACCAAATATAAGATTACTTCGATGACCCATAACTAGATTGAATAAAAAAATTTATATGAAAAAGACAAAATTTTTTTTTTTTGTTTATTTTCAACCAGTTGATTTCGGAAAATGTGGAATATCAGCATAAGGTATTATAATTTTATCAACAATTAATTCAGCTAAACCACCAAGACCTGAACCACATATAATAGCTAATTCTGGTTTAGTTGGAACTAATTTTTGAATAAAACCAACAATTTCTTGTACACATTCATATGTATAAAAACTAAGTTCATAAAAAAAAAAAAAAACTAACAGATTGATTTTTCTTTTAACAAACCGATTTGTTATTGCATTTGGATGTTCACCAACCGATGAACATGGACCATTTTCAGCAATATTTTTTGATTCTATTGATGATTTTGTATTATATGACATTATTGAATCTAAATTTCAAAGAATAAAAAAAAACAAAACAAAACAAAGACTAAAAGCTTACATACGCACAGACAGAACCCTCGACAATAATATTGTGAGAAAAAAACAGCAGATGGTAATGATCAGGAAAGGATCAAGCACTGGATGTTGGTATTATAACTTTGTTGTCTGTTTTTTTCTTCTTCTTTTTCTCCTACGTGTTATTTTTCTTCGTCTCTCTCATTATTATTCACATTCTGTAGTTTCAAAAATGTATGTCAATGAAAAGGCGAACAAGATATTTTTTTATTCCAGATACGTGCAATCTTTCCACTTTTATCTTATAGGAATGTTAAAAAATCAAATAAAAAAGACAACTGTACGTGACTAAAAAATTTAAATTTATAAATCATTTGTATTTATTTTGTTTGTTGTAAAAAATAAAATATATAAATATATATAAGCAAAACAACGGAGAATAGGACTTAATTATATTGTTATATTCAATTCAATTTATAGCAAGATGTTGTAGAATAATATCAATTAAATCTTGTTTTTTCGTTCCGGATGCTTTTAAATTTTGTTCTTTACAATAATTTTTAAGTATTGGTATAGTTAATTTAGTTAACTAAAATAAAAATAATAGATATAAGAAAAATAAAAACAAAAGGAAGTATGGTTTTTTTTCTTAATCTTTTTCATACTAAATTATTGCGTGCAGCAGCTTCAACATCGATATTATCGTCTGCTTTGGTCTTTTTTGAACTTGTTGATGTAGCAGCTGTTTCAGCCTAAAGATCAAAGTTTCATGAGAAAATTTATTTGATTACAAAATCTATATGCTTTAGTTTTAATTACAAAAGAAACAACAAGCTTAAAAAAAAAAGTAAGATACAAATGCTTAAAATAGAATCTGACAAAAAACAATCATACACGATACGATAAAAGTACAAATGTAGATGCAATAAATAACACATCGTGTTTTTTCACATAGTCTATGACAAATAATAAAATATTTTATACTGTCCTTTGGCGTTCGTCGTCATAATACAAAAAAAAACATGTGATAAGCTTATCATATATATATTCAACTTTGGATTGATGTGTTTTTTTATTGTATCATTACAAAAGTGATATTTTGAAAATTTTACACTATGATGTAGAGTAAGAAAAAGATATATGCTAAGTAATGGGCGTTCTTTTTTTTCTTCACATTTCGATATTGAATTTGATTTAAAGATATTTGTAAAGACTTATAAAATACATTGAAAGAATTATTTGCTCTATTGTGTATCTCGTAAAAATTATTCTCTTGGATTATATATAATTTTATTGTGTTCACATATCGAGGTATATATATAAAAGCAAAAACAGAAAAATCTTTTAATCTAGGGAAATTTTAAATCACTAAGTCACGTCAACTATCGGAAATGTTATTTCACAACATTTATTATTCGATAAACGGATATTCACATTGATGTTTCCATTTATCTTAATAATGCATCAGTCTTCGTTGTATCGTCATGTATTTCGAAGAATTACGAGAAAAAAAAAAACTACTATCGTAATAATTTTGATTCATTTCTATTCAAAGAAACAGATTCAAAAATTAATTCTTTTGACATAAATATTGAATCTATAATTGCAATGTTTTTTTTTTTTTATAGTAACACATTATTATTTGATTGCTTGAAAATTATTCTACATTATACAATCTAATGAGCATAATTTATGAAATTTATTTTAATAAGAATTAAATTATACACGTCAAAATATTTATAGATGATTATCTAGATTGTGTTATAAATGTCTTTCCAACAAAAAAAATTTAATTATCTTCACTCATATCTTCAAAGTATTGAGCTAATTTTTTTAATTAACAATAGAAATAGTATTCAAAAAAATTTTTTTTTTCTATTTTATTAATAAATTATGAATGAACATTACATTCAATTGTTAATACTCACTTGAACATGTTTTATAAATTTTTACGGACTCGACAAAGAAAAAAAAAAGGAAATGCATATTTTTGTGATTTTAACATAACATTAAAACGAGAAATGTCAAGATAACCTTTAATTAAAAATTTATAATGATGCACAGAAATAAGAATAATAGATTATGTCAACGCAAAATACTCAAAATGATCCGTTGAAAATTTTCAAGAATAAACGAGTCTTCATGAAATTCATCTTTTGTTAGAATTCTGATTGATTGGACGTAAACATAGACTTTCTATCAGCAGTAGTGAGACTAGTAGCATATGAGAATGATGTGAAATCATATCGAATAGTATTTATTTTAAAGCTATTGAAAAGTGCTATCGAGTCATATAAATACTCGCCTGATCGATCTTTTAATTAACATATGAAAAAGAAATCCTAACCTTTCGTTTAGTTGCTGATCTTTTAGTAATACCCATAACATAATCCGGTGGAAAAATTGTTTGTTTAATTTCATCAATATATTCAACTATTTTTTTATTTTGATTTTCAATATTTGGTATTGTTAAATCAATAAATTCTTCTGGTTTATTTTTATTTAATGCTGTTGCTTCAATATTTCTCCATAATGTTTGTAATGCTGGATTTTCAAATTTTTCTGGACGATATTTAAATTTTAAATTACGTATAATATTTTTAAATAAATCAACTTTATCATCTGTTAAACGTGCTGTATCATTCTTTGGTAATGTTCGTATATCATCAGCATATGGTAAATAATATACATGAAAACCATTTGATGCTAAACGTTCATTTGGATCTTTTTTATTTATTTCTTCAGCTTGTGGAATAAGTGCAACTAGAAAAAAATAAAAAATCAAATAATTTATAAGAAAAAAAACAAAAAAAATTTATTTTATAACCAAGACGTGGTGGTGTATTTCGTCTTGCTGTAAATTGACATAGAATAAACATATTTTTTTCTAAACATTTTTTTAATAAACTATTAAATAAACATGAACTTCCTTCAATATATTTTTCATCGGGATATATAAAATGACCAGGTTTAACATAATGATGTGGTAATAAACAAGAAAGATTTTTAAAACCAAGTATTTCAAAACCGGGATTAGTAAATTTTTTTATTGCTTTTATTTCATCAGCATCAAATAATACACGACGATTAGATACATCAATACCATATTGTATATCAGATGGCATAAGAATTTCAGCTAGACAAAAAAATAAATAATATTATTATATAAATTATTATTATTATTATTTATGAACGAACCAGTTTCAGGAAGATAATGTTTTGTAACAAGTTTTGTTTCCATATTTGTTTTCATATCTAATTTAATTTTAGTCGGTTTTGGACAAGGACGAACCTAAATAATAAGATTATCATAAATTATTCATAATCTTTTTCAAAAAAAAACAAAACTGTTAGTGCAATCCCTTGTGGGATTAAAAATGTGAAACACGATGGATCTATTGTTATTAGTTAAATGGAAATCGTTTTGTTCCATTTCTTTGCGATACATTTCTAAACTAACCCTTTATCTAATGCTTTAGAACTGCAGTTTCTCTATGACGGTCTCTGACAGATACCAAGCCCTGTCTGTCACGGTCTGTGATGGGTAGAGCCCATCGGGTCCAAGATTTTCAGATCCGGACCCGGTGTACCGAATGTTTTGAGGCCCAGATCCGGACCAGATTAAACTTTTCCGGACTCTGACATAGCTGGTTACAATCTCTCGGGCCTGAGCCCATATTCCGTTGATTAAACTTTTTCTAACTCTGAATTGGCCGGCATTCTGGACATTTTCAATGAATTATTCCTATCGAAGTCTGATAGTGCGTCATAAATATGAGATCTTTTTTTTTCAATCATATCGATCACTACCACGACCTATATGTTAGTTAGGCTATATTGATCATGATCTATAATCAAGTTGTAATTGGCTCTAATTCTTTGCCAATAACTTCAGATACCGAGATAAAGATTTAGATTAAATACAGCTTTATCTTATTTCTTTTGTTTAACAGCTATACGATTATTAGGTGTAGTTGCCTTATTGTTACTAGTTCATATTTATAAAAAACAAATTAAGGCAGTCACATCATTTTTTTTAACAAGCACACAATTATACTTGTTTTTATTTTGTTGTTATGCATTCATATTTATATAAAACAAATTAAGACAACATTACACTATTTGTTTTGTTGAACGACTTATTGATTAACAGTAACACTTGTTTTAATTTTGCCAAATCTTAGTTATAAAAAAAACATTGTAAAACATCATTATATTATTTTGTTTCCTCTAGCAGCTATACGACTTACATATTTTATTCAACAAGTTTTATTACTATTTTTTCTATCTTTTATAAGTTAATTTATAATTACTTTTTGAATAAAAATGAAAAACGGCTGAAAACAAATTTAAGAAAGTCATTATTTGTATGAAAGCAGTTTTTGGATCCGGACCTGGACCCGAGCGGGTCGTGGTCCTACCCGACGGGCTCTAGTGATGGGTTCCGGGCTTGTCTGTTACGGTCTGTGGGGGTCCAAATTTCTACCCCTAAATACTTCAACACTCCTTTCAGATCGAAAAATAACTCAAAAATTAAAATTTTCTATTAAATCGAAAGAATATAATGCAAAGTCTAATCTTGATTTTACAAAAGTTTATTGTCCTATTTTTCTGTTATATATTTAATAAATCTTGATGATGCTAGAATGGTTTGATTTTCCGAACTTTTATTCTTGACATATCGAAATTTGATTAGATTTTTCAATAATCACACGGAAAATCTACTTTCAATTTTTTCACAAACAAAATTCTCAATCAGATTAGTTGATTGAACAACTTGTAACTTTTCTACTATCTCCTATTTTGAGATATTTCATCGTCGAAATTCTCTCGAATGTAAAAACAAAAAAAGGAAATACTAATTATACAATCAAATACTTTTTTTCTTTCAAAATTCGAAAGAATGTAAGCTTAGAAAACTAAACTTTTCTATTATTTCTATATATTCTTAATTCAGCCAAGTACAACTCAATGTCTAACTT